GTGAGAATTAGAGGGAGCATACTTAAATTCACACAGGACACCAGATAAGACAGGAAAATGACACCAGATAAGACAGACAGACCCAGCCCCCGGGACGTAGACTATTCATCATAGATACTGGAGGCTGAGACGGGAGAGGTCGGGGAACACTGTGGCCCCGTCCGACGATACCCCCGGACAGGGCCAACCAGGCCAACCAGGCAGGATATAACCCTACCCACTTTGCAAGCACACCCCCCACACCACTAGAGGGAAATCAACAGACCACCAACTTCCCTGAGACAAGGCTAGCCCATGAAGATCTCCTCCACCACACGAGCCCGAGGGGCGCAAAACCAGACAGGAAGATCGCGTCAGTGACTCAATCCACTCAAGTCGAGTATAGCGAAAAAAGCCTGTCACGACATGACGCATCCCTCCTAGGGACGACATGGGAGAGCACTAGTAAGCCAGTGACTCAGCCCCCGTAATAGGGTCAGAAGCAGACAATCCCAGTGGAGAGAGGGGAGCCGGCCAAGCAGAGACATCAAAGGTGGTTTGTCACTCCAGTGCCTTGCCGTTCACCTTCACACCCCTGGGCCAGACTACCATCAATCATAGGACCTAACGAAGAGATGAGTCTTAAGTAAAGGTTGAGACCGCGTCTGCGTGTCTCACATGGATAGGCAGACCATTCCATAAAAATGGAGCCCTGCCTCCAGCTGTTTGCTTAGAAATTCTAGGGACAATAAGGAGGCCTGCGTCTTGTGACCGTAGTGTACATGTAAGTATGTACGGCAGGACCAAATCGGAGAGATTGGTAAGAGCAAATCCAGTAAAACCTTGAAATCAGCCCTAGCCTTAACAGGAAGCACTGGAGTAATATGATACATATTTTTGGTTCTATTCAAGAGTCTAGCAGCTGTATTTAGCACTAACTGCAGTTTATTTAGTGATTTATCTGGGTAGCCGGAGCATAGAGCATTGCAGTAGTCTAATCTAGAAGTGACAAAAGCATGGATTACCTTTTCTGCATAATTTTTGGACAAAACGTTTCTGATGTTTTCAATGTTACAAAGATTGAAAAAAGCTGCCCTTGAAATATTCTTGATATGTTCGTCAAAAGGGAGATCAGGGTCCAGAGTAACACAGAGGTCCTTCACGGTTTTATTTGAGACGACTGTACAACCATCAAGATTTATTGTCAGAACAAACAGCAGATCTCTTTGTTTCTTGGGACCTATAACTAGCATCTCTGTTTTGTCCGAGTTTAAATGTAAAACATTTGCTGCGATCCACTTCCTTATGTCTGAAACACAGACTTCCAGGGTAGGCAATTTTGGGTCTTCACCATGTTTCATCGAAATGTACAGCTGTGTGTTGTCCGCATAGCAGTGAAAGTTGACATTGTGTTTCTGAATGACATCATCAAGAGGTAAAATATATAGGCAAAACAATAGTCGTCCTAAAATGGAACCTTGAGGAATACCGAAACGTACTATTGATTTGTCAGAGGGCAAACCATCCAAAGAGACGAACTGATATCTTTACGACAGATAAGATCTAAACCAGGCAAGAACTTGTCCGTGTAGACCAATAAGGGTTTCCAATCTCTCTAAAAGAATGTGGTGATCGATGGTGTCAAAAGCCGCACTAAGGTCTAGGAGCATGAGGACAGATGCAGAGCCTTGGTCTGACGCCATTAACTAACCCTTTGACGTGTACGATCACATTTGTGATAATTGATTAGTGGTCCCTGCAGCGTACCAGCGCAAATATGTGATTGGAAGAGTAGCAACAGAATGTATGATGCAACAAACGCATCTAAAAACCCTTGTTGTCTGAACAGCATCTAGGTCTTAAACTTTATTCCTCAATTTGACCTTTTATTGTAAAAGATAAATGTGAATTTCATCATCCAAGCATCACACGGAACACATCCACAGCCAAACTCAAACCAGTCTAAATAACAGGTTGCGCTGACAAAAAACAAAACATAACTTAGCGACTTAACAGCTAGAATAGTTTACAATGTACCACATCTCTGGTGAGGACAAGGGACAAATGTAATATTATTTAGAAAAGAGATACGTGTCAGCTAAGCCAACAGCGGCTAAATTCTTTATGATGGCACCTCACAGATCATAACCCAAACACAAGCCTACTGCCTAGCCTAGCCGTAGCGTGAACAGGGTTGCCAGATTTGGGTGAAACCATTTTAGGGGGGTTCATTTCATTTGTGGGGGGTTTTCAGGTCCACGGGGGTCAGAAATGGGGGAAGGTATCGTGGGGGATATGATGGAGGAAATATTACTATGATTGGGGATTTATCAATAAATTGGGTGCAAACACAGGAGAAATTAATAATCTGAATAAAAATAAACCCCCTGGAAAGGTGAGTCTGAGCTGGCAACCCTGAGTAACCTGACAGAAAAACGTAACTCTTGACTGACAGTGATAGTGTCAGTAACCGGCTGAGGTGGATGTGGTGGAGGAGTCACACGCAGGACACAGAAGCTAAGTCAACCGACTTTTACTGCACAAAACAATAAACAAGACACTGACCTCAAACAAAACAGGAGGCGAGTGATACGCACCAGTGCGTAAAATACAATACTCCAAGCGCACGAAAACACACAGTGCGACAGACCAGGAAAATACAAAACACGAGCAGCACCAAAATGACAGGCGAACAATAACACACAACACACGACTAACAAAACGAGAAACTTATAGGGGACATCATTAACCCAAACGGAAACAGGTGTACAATAAAGACAAAACCAAACAAACATCGATAACATACAATGGTGGTAGCTAGTACTCCGGGGACAACGACCGCCGAAGCCTGCCCGAGCAAGGAGAAGGAGCAGCCTCTGCCGAAACCGTGACAGTAACCCCCCCTTGACGCGCGGCTCCAGCCGTGCGCTGACCCCGGCCTCGGGGACGACCAGGAGGACGCGGAGCAGGGAGCGTGGGGTGACCATGGTGGAACTCTGTCAGGAGAGACGGGTCTAGGATGTCCCTCCTCGGCACCCAGCACCGTTCCTCCAGGCCGTACCCCTCCCACTCCACAAGATATTGGAGACCCCCCATCCGACGTCTCGAGTCCAAGATGGACCGAACTGTTTACGCCGGAGCCCCCTCGATGTCCAGTGGGGGCGGAGGAGTCTCTCCTATCTCACCTTCCTGGAGTGGACCAGCTACCACGGGGCGTCAACAGGGAGGAGGGGAATCCCTAACTCTAAACAAAATTTCCGATCAACAAAATTCCCAGCTGCTTCTGAATCTACTAGCGCCTTATGCTGGGAATGAGGTGCATCCTGTGGAAATCTTACAGGTATACAGAAGTGCACAACAGAGAGCTCTGGGTAAGTGGGACGCCTACTCACCTGGAAGGGCTCCCCAGTGCGTGGCCTGTTGTCCTCTCCCCTAGGAGACCCTCCCCAGCACCTAGCCGCGGTGTGCCCTCCACGGCCACAGTTGGTTTAGGGGACGGCCCCCCTCGGGCTCCTCCTCCTCCTCTCTCTAGCGCCAGCACCCCCGAGCTCCATTGGGCTCGGCTCGGAGGTGCTGGAGGGTGGAATGGACGAACCCCACTCGGAACGTCTGCGGGTGGCCAGCAGGGTGTCCAGCCGGATGGACATGTCCACCAACTGGTCGAACGTGAGGTTGGTATCCCTGCAGGCCAGCTCTCGACGGACGTCCTCCCGTAGACTACAACGGTAGTGGTCGATGAGGGCCCGCTCATTCCACCCTGCATCCGCCACTAGGGTCCGGAATTCCAGGGTGAACTCCTGTGCGCTCCTCTTCCCCTGTCGGAGGTAGAATAGACGCTCCCCCGCCGCTTTGCCCTCAGGTGGATGGTCGAACACGGCCCTGAAGCGGCAGGAGAATTCCGCGTAGGTGATGGTGGCGGCGTCTATCCCCCTCCATTCAGCATTGGCCCACTCCAACGCCTTGACGGTGAGACAGGAGATGAGGACGGAAACGCTCTCGTGTCCCGAGGGCGCCGGGTGTACGGTGGCCAGGTAGAGCTCCACCTGCAGAAGGAACCCCTGACACCCGGCTGCGGTGCCATCATACGCCCTCGGGAGCGAGAGCCGAATTCCCCTGGATTCCGGAACTTGGATGGCAGGACTGGTCGAAGGTGGAGGTCTGGGAGGTGGAGGTGTGGGTACCCCTCTGTTATCCCATCGGTGGAGCGTGGTGATTACTTCCTGCAGGGCGACCGTGAGCTGTTGTATCCTCTCGTCCTGCCTGCGGACGCGCTCCTCCATAGGATCGTGCGCTGCTGCGGCTCCTGCTGACTCCAAAGAGGTGTGTTATTCTGTCAGTAACCGGCTGAGGTGGATGTGGTGGAGGAGTCCACACGCAGGACACAGAAGCTAAGTTAACCGACTTTTACTGCACAAAACAATAAACAAGACACTGACCTCAAACAAAACAGGAGGCGAGTGACACGCACCAGTGCGTAAAATACAATACTCCAAGCGCACGAAAACACACATTGCGACAGACCAGGAAAATACAAAACACGAGCAGCACCAAATGACAGGCGAACATAACACACAACACACGACTAACAAACGAGAAAACTTATAGGGACATCATTAACCAAACGGAAACAGGTGTACAATAAAGCCAAAACCAAACAAACATCGATAACTACAACGGTGGTAGCTAGTACTCCGGGGACCGACGACCGCCGAAGCCTGCCCGAGCAAGGAGGAGGAGCAGCCTCGGCCGAAACCGTGACATATAGCCATTGAGTATAGAGATAATAATAATAAAATAATATAATAATATGCCAGTTAGCAGACGCTTTTATCCAAAGCGACATTACAGTCATGCGTGCATACATTTTTTTGTGTATGGGTGGTCCCGGGGATCGAACCCACTACCTTGGCGTTACAAGCGCCGTGCTCTACCAGCTGAGCTAATGTCCGGTTTCAAAAGGAAATGCCTCACTGATGAGGAGATACAATACATATTTAGTAATTCTGATGAAAAATCTTTGTATGAGAGTGAGTCGGCGCAATCAGATAGTGACGAGGAATATCTGCCCCAACCTTCTGGACTGTGAGCGTGAGATGTCTGAGGACAATGGTGCCCACGCCAACCTTGCAGGCAATGAGCACCCTTCACCTTCCCAAGATGCTGGTGCTGCTGCTAATCTTGTAGGCTGTGAGGGAGAAGAGGTTGAAATTGAGGAGGATGATCCCCGCTGCTTGAGATCCTGTCACTTCACACCATCAGAGATATACTTCAATGACACCCTGTCTGGCGTACAAAGCACCCTGCCTACCCCCTGCCTACTGTTCCTTCTTGAGGAATTGGTGGATAGTGTGGTGCAGGAAACCAACAGGTATGACCATTATCATATTACAAAAACCCAAGGCTCTCTTCAAATGTATCAAAATTCAGAATGCCTTAGTCTACTAAATATGCATATTTGTTTGGAGGTATTCTCATGCACTGAAAGAGAAGACTGCCCCCCTGGCGTAAAAGGGAAGCTCTCAAAATGGGTGAACTTGGGCAGCTTGGGCAGGGCATTTGGAATAGTGTTTGTGCCTCACAAGGACTTGTGCATTAATGAGTCTCTCATGGCTTGGAAAGGAAGGCTTGCAATCCGCCAATACATCCCATCAAAGCGCCACAGATTTGGAGTCAAGTTCTTTGTTTTATGTGACTGTCTGACAGGATACATTATGTACAGGACCTGCTCATCCACACCGACGCCACCACAGATATAAGGCATTTTGAGGGTCTTGGCATATCTGGATCAGTGGTGATTACCATGCTGCAGACAAACGCACATTTCCATGTTCTGTCCACTGTGAACACTTCTATAATGTTGGACACAGGAAAACTGGACTATGTCATTGGAGAGAGGAACATGAAGCCAGACTGTGTCTTGGAGTACAACAAGAAGATGGGGGCAGTTTACAAAGTGGACATGCAGAACAGTTTTGTTGAGTGTGCCAGAAAGTCCATTAAATGGTACACAACACTTTTTTTCCACCTAATAGACATAGGTCTCCTCAACGGCCACATTGTTCACCGACAGGTCAGAGGACAGATGATCTCGTACCAGCCGTACAGGATATACCTGATGCGGCAGCTCCTTGAGGACCTGTGGGGGAAAATTACAAAATGAGTCATAGAATCCCGTGTTTTACTACTGAGAGAATTGTCTCTTGTTATATGCTTGTGTTTTTATCTAACCTGATACAAACTTGTCTTTATGTGACTTAGTCACAAGACTGGGCATATACAATGAGGGAAATAAGTATTTGATCCCCTGCTGATTTTGTACGTTTGCCCACTGACAAAGACATGATCAGTCTATAATTTTAATGGTAGGTTTATTTGAACAGTGAGAGACAGAATAACAACAAAACAATCCAGAAAAACGCATGTAAAAAATGTTATCAATTGATTTGCATTTTAATGAGGGAAATAAGTATTTGACCCCCTCTCAATCAGAAAGATTTCTGGCTCCCAGGTGTCTTTTATACAGGTAACGAGCTGAGATTAGGCACACTCTTAAAGGGAGTGCTCCAAATCTCAGCTTGTTACCTGTATAAAAGACACCTGTCCACAGAAGCAATCAATCAATCAGATTCCAAACTCTCCACCATGACCAAGACAAAAGATCTCCAAGGATATCTTGGACAAGATTGTAGACCTACACAAGGCTGGAATGGGCTACAAGACCATCGCCAAGCAGCTTGGTGAGAAGGTGACAACAGTTGGTGCGATTATTCGCAAATGGAAGAAACACAAAATAACTTTCAATCTCCCTCGGCCTGGGGCTCCATGCAAGAGCTCACCTCGTGGATTTGCAATGATCATGAGAACGGTGAGGAATCAGCCCAGAACTACACGGGAGGATCTTGTCAATGATCTCAAGGCAGCTGGGACCATAGTCACCAAGAAAACAATTGGTAACACACTACGCCGTGAAGGACTGAAATCCTGCAGCGCCCGCAAGGTCCCCCTGCTCAAGGAAGCACATATACATGCCCGTCTGAAGTTTGCCAATGAACATCTGAATGATTCAGAGGAGAACTGGGTAAAAGTGTTGTGGTCAGATGAGACCAAAATGGAGCTCTTTGGCATCAACTCAACTCGTCGTGTTTGGAGGTGGAGGAATACTGCCTATGACCCCAAGAACACCATCCCCACTGTCAAACATGGAGGTGGAAACATTATGCTTTGGGGGTGTTTTTCTGCAAAAGGGGACAGGACAACTTCACCGCATCAAAGGGACGATGGACGGGGCCATGTACCTTCAAATCTTGGGTGAGAACCTCCTTCCCTCAGCCAGGGCATTGAAAATGGGTCGTGGATGGGTATTCCAGCATGACAATGACCCAAAACACACGGCCAAGGCAACAAAGGAGTGGCTCAAGAAGAAGCACATTAAGGTCCTTGAGTGGCCTAGCCAGTCTCCAGACCTTAATCCCATAGAAAATCTGTGGAGGGAGCTGAAGGTTTGAGTTGCCAAACATCAGCCTCGAAACGTTAATGACTTGGAGGAGATCTGCAAAGAGGAGTGGGACATAATCCCTCCTGAGATGTGTGCAAACCTGGTGGCCAACTACAAGAAACGTCTGACCTCTGTGATTGCCAACAAGGGTTTTGCCACCAAGTACTAAGTCATGTTTTGCAGAGGGGTCAAATACTTATTTCCCTCATTAAAATGCAAATCAATTTATAACATTTTTGACAAGTGTTTTTCTGGATTTTTTGTTGTTATTCTGTCTCTCACTGTTCAAATAAACCTACCATTAAAATTATAGACTGATCATGTCTTTGTCAGTGGGCAAACGTACAAAATCAGCAGGGGATCAAATACTTTTTTCCCTCACTAAGTTCCGTTTGGGTACGACCGCAGCATGTGACACATCCCATGGTTTTACTATCTGCAGGAAGTCAGCTGTATGGAAACTTTCAGGAAGGAGCACATTAGAGTGTGAACTGTGACAAACGCAGTTTGACAGTTGAGCCCTAGTGCTATCAATCTCGGGCTATCTTATTCTGCACAGACAAACCAATTGCCTTTTTATACTATGTTCTTCCCGTTTCCACCCATCTGCTAAACTGCCACGAAGACAAAGAGGTTGTACTTTCTATAAAAGCCGAGAGCCAACTCTGTTCGTTGGACTTTTAACTCTGCACTGTTGAGTGGATTGTTTACTGCTCCATTTTGCCAAATCTTATAATAAAGTTGCCATTTGAGGAATCTACAGTCTCTCTCTTCCTTTTGGTTAGAATTTCCACCACAATATTTGGCACTCCAGACGGGACAGCTAACTCCGCCTGCTGATCGTTCCTGGGGAGCCCAAAGTTAACCGTGCACGGAGGCTACAGTAGACGTGGCTAAGGGAGCCCACACTCCGATTAAGCAGAGCAGAAAGGGACCCACCAAGGACCCGGCAGGGAGCGTCAGTGGACGGATACGCCATCCCGAACAGACAGAGTTAAGGGTGAGACTGATTTTCTTAAAATGTAACCTCCAATTGGGGAATGTTCTGGGAACTTTTAGAAACTCCTGTTCTGGGAATAGGTCACATGTTAGAGATACCAGGACTCCTGATGAAAGTGATTCCAGGATAAGATCCTGAGGTACTATAGAGATACCAGGATATGTTCCTGAGGTAGAAGTAAGAAAATCATTGTAAAATAAAATTAATTAAATCCGTGGACTGATAAAACGGTTGGTTATGATTGGGAAACCAGCTATACATTTAAAACCTACATGGAAATGTGCATAGGAGGAACTACCATGTGGGTATAAAATCCAAAAATTACATGAGTAATGAAATAATATTTTGATGAAGAAGAAAAAAACTATTTGAATTATAAGAAAAGAAGACATTCCTAACTAAACACTGTTGTTTTGTGTTTGTGTCGGAGTGTGTGTGTATAGACTGAGTTTCACAATGGGAGCCAAGAGCAGCAAGGGAGAAACTTGCTTGCCCGACCCACTGACTGGACCGGTGAAGGTAATGGCGGATAAGTGTGGCAGAACATTCTGGAACAGGTACTGCTCTGGCACAAGGTAGCAGATTTTCCCTTAAAAGGCACATTGAGTTGAAGCTTTATTTGCAGAATGTAGAAAGAAGTTACAGGGCTTTGAGACAACCAAGAAAGGCAAGGCAAGTAAAGTAAAGTAGAATGGGGTGATTTTAGGAAGTGGAAAGAGAAGCAGAGAGAAGGGCAGACAGGAAAGTTAAAGGAATAATGGTGAAAGGAAGTAAGAAGGAGAAACAGTCCCGTGTAGCTCAGTTGGTAGAGCATGGCGTTTGCAACGCCAGGGTTGTGGGTTCGATTCCCACAGGGGGCCAGTATGAAAATGTATGCACTCACTAACTGTAAGTCGCTCTGGATAAGAGCGTCTGCTAAATGACTAAAATGTAAAATGTAAATGTAAATGTAAACAGACGGAGGATGATAAGAGAAGGAGAAACAGGGATGATGATGACTTTCCACCCCCCATTATACCCCTGTCTCCACTGCACCAGCACCCACCCTGGTTGTCCAACAGCAGCCCGCTCAACCGTCTCCCCCGCCGCAGCTCTACCCCGAACAAGACCTGATACAACTGCAGGACCAGCAGACTCCTCGGAGGCGGCCCATGAGCAGTGGGAATCCGTTCCTTACACCGCCCACATTGACTCCTGTCTCTGGTGTTGATGGACTCTGATAACTTAGTCCACCATCGACGTCGACCCCTGCGACGCAGCTAAGTCCCTCACCCCCAACAGTCACGACCAGAACAGGTCAAAAAGGGGACCCAAATACTACCTTTCTCCAGGCACCTTTGGTAACGTTCCGCGACCTGTGGACGGTGAGGAGGGCCATGATGAATGGCACCCGCTCGTTGACATCCATAAGACTTGGAGACAGGACGAAATGAAGGACATTGCTAAAGAACTTCCAGATCCTACAAAAGATGCTGGTGACTTTACCACACAGTTATTCAAATTGGTGTGACTGTAGAGACCATCAGCGGCCGAGTTCGCTCCCATTTGCCATATCAAGATGAGGCTGCGATGGGCAGACGTGGAAGGGGGATATGATGAAAATCACCTCTGGGAAGAAGATGGTGCCTGTCAGATCCAACTGACTACACTGTGTGATCGCATAAAATAACATTACCCGCCTATGACCGATTGGGCAGCTAGCCAGAGTTGCACGCAGAAAGCTAAAGAGTCGTTGGAAGACTACAGACATAGGCTGGAGACCTGCTACCCGTAAGCATAGCGGGCTCAAACCAATGACTAATGGCCGGAGCAATGACTATGACAGCCTCTTGAAGGCTGCCCTAATGAATTGACTTTTGCCAGCCCTTGGTAAACAGGTTAAGACGACCTGCATTGGCTGGGAAACTACTACCCTACAGACAGTCATTGAACACTGTAAACACGCTGAGAGGTAACAAGATAAGACGAAACAGAGAATGGAAAAGGAGGCCTTCTATCAAGGACAGGGCCAGCAGCTGAAGGCTCAGGGAGCTCCTCCAAATGATGGAAGAGGAAGGGGAGGGGAAGTCAGTGCTGACGGACGGGCTGGACGACAATCACTACAGGGTAGGAAGTTTGCTTGTTACAACTGCGGAAAGGAGGGACATTTCACCAGAACATGTCGAAATGAACCTACCGAACAGGGGGCAGCGGGGGGAGGTTGGAAAACTGGATCATCACCAAAAACAACCCTTTACAACCCACATATGGACTGACGCGAGGTAGAGACAGTTGACACCCTTGGACATCATATAAATATTATTTCAAGCCCCCTTGAGGAGCCAATGGTTTGTCTCTTCGTCAATGGTGAGTCTGTTGATTTTCTAGTAGATACTGGAGCTGCAATGTCTGTCATAAATTCTAAATCCATGTCCAAACCTCCCATGTCAAATGAGTCAGTCAGCACTGTGGGAGCCACGGGAGTGACTATGAAAGAGTTGCTCACGATGCCCCTACCTGTTAAAGTTGATGACACATGCATAAAACATCAATTCATTTCCTCTACATGTTGTCCTGTAAATTTGTCAGGAAGAGATCTTCTCTGCAAATTGGGAATTAACATCCTTTGCAACAACAAAGGCTTCACTGTTGTACAGCCTCAGGAGACATGTCATCTCATGATGCTGTCCGACACGGTCTCAACATCTGATTGGTACTATGCATGGGACGTACAGGATATTGATGGGTCACAATATGACCCTATTGACAAAATGTTCTCAACTGCTCTCAGTTGTTGGAAAAAGAAAGGCAGTTTTATGTCACAAACTGACTTACATTGCACCGCCCATTTCTCACCATTGACAAGAGATTTACACTTTGAACAAAATTGGCTTAAAGGAACCCGAAGTGATACGTATAGTGGGCCCCTAGTTTGTTTCTTAGAGTAAACATAACCAAGGAACAGGCTTTATTTGATCCTTTTAGTGACAGGGTACCACGTTTCGATAGCTAAGACAGATGATGTTGCCTGGGAGGATACTGGTGTTTGGTTGAGGTCTGTCTTTCAGGTCACTGACTGGGAACTTAGGGCGGATGGGTCTAAATTTTCCCCCAGCACACATACACTATGTGTTCCCTATTTTTGGGTTGCGACTGTTCAATGAGGCATGCATGGCCTAGAGGGTGCTAAACCAACTAAACAGATGGTTTCTGTGGAGACTGAGTCTCCCAAACTCTCTGTGGGCTAAAGATAAGTATGACATTGGGCGAATGAGGGGGGTGAAACCGCTTACCGTCACACCATATAGACCCAGCAGAGCTCAGTATCCATTAAGTCAGTAGGCAGTGCGGGGGATAACCCCTGTTCATGCTTCATTGGTAGAAAGAGGAACTATTGTGCCTTGTCCAGACTCTCCCTGTAACACCACCATTCTTCCTGTCCGGAAGGCCTCAGGTGGTTGGAGTTTTGTTCAAGATCTTAGACCTGTTAACGATGCTGTTTATGCAAGGACTCCTGTTGTGCCAAACCCCATTACAATTTGATCTGCTGTGCCAGCGTCTGCAAAATGGTTTTCAGTTATCGATTTGGCAAATGCTTTTTTCAGCATTCCCGTTGCACCAGAATCACAGTTATGGTTCACGTTTACATTTTTAAACCAGCGTTGGACTTGGACCGCTTGGCCCCCAATGTTCAATGGAATCGCGTGCAGTGTTTTCTGCTGCTTTGGCGCAACATTTAGAGGGTTTCATAGCCCCTGCTGGGAGTACGTTATTCTGAAACCCTACAAGCATGCGAAGTCGACACCAGAGCTCTGTTAGTGTTTCTTGCTGAAAATGGCCACAAAGTTGAGCCAGACCGGGATGAAGTACCTGTGGCGACAGGTGTGGTAGACACTCTCAGTGTTTGCCATGATTTTGGACTGGTAAGATTGAGATTTTTAGAAAAAGTGGATTCCTGCTTTTTGGCCGACTCATACGTTGTTTCAGGCTGGGTAAAGGACAAACTGGAAGCGGTTACAGTGAGTGAAAAAAGTATTTGATCCCCTGCTGATTTTGTACATTTGCCCACTGACAAAGACATGATCAGTCAATAATTTTAATGGTAGGTTTATTTGAACAGTAAGAGACAGAATAACAACAAAAAAATCCAGAAAAACGCATGTCAAAAATGTTATAAATTGATTTGCATTTTAATGAGGGAAATAAGTATTTGACCCCCTCTCAATCAGAAAGATTTCTGGCTCCCAGGTGTCTTTTATACAGGTAACGAGCTGAGATTAGGAGAACACTCTTAAAGGAAGTGCTCCTAATCTCAGTGTGTTACCTGTATAAAAGACACCTGTCCACAGAAGCAATTAATCAATCAGATTCCAAACTCTCCACCATTGCCAAGACCAAAGAGCTCTCCAAGGATGTCAGGGACAAGATTGTAGACCTACACAAGGCTGGAATGGGCTACAAGACCATCGCTAAGCAGCTAGGTGAGAAGGTGACAACAGTTGGTGCGATTATTCGCAAATGGAAGAAACACAAAAGACCTGTCAATCTCCTTCGGCCTGGGGCTCCATGCAAGATCTCACATTGTGGAGTTGCAATGATCATGAGAACGGTGAGGAATCAGCCCAGAACTACACGGGAGGATCTTGTCAATGATCTCAAGGCAGCTGGGACCATAGTCACCAAGAAAACAATTGGTAACACACTACGCCGTGAAGGACTGAAATCCAGCAGCGCCTGCAAGGTCCCCCTGCTCAAGAAAGCACATATACAGGCCCGTCTGAAGTTTGCCAATGAACATCTGAATGATTCAGAGGAGAACTGGGTGAAAGTGTTGTGGTCAGATGAGACCAAAATCGAGCTCTTTGGCATCAACTCAACTCGCCGTGTTTGGAGAAGGAGGAATGCTGCCTATAGCCCCAAAAACACCATCCCCACCGTCAAACATGGAGGTGGAAGCAAATATAACCTATCCTGGACTTATCAGGTAAAAACTATGTCAAAGCTCAACAAGACAGACAGGGTTTTGCCACCGGGTCTACCTCTGTGCTTTGGGGGTGTTTTCTGCTAAGGGGACAGGACAACTTCACCGCATCAAAGGGACGATGGACGGCGCCATGTACCATCAAATCTTGGGTGAGAACCTCCTTCCCTCAGCCAGGGCATTGAAAATGGTTCGTGGATGGGTATTCCAGCATGACATTGACCCAAAACACACGGCTAAGGCAACAAAGGAGTGGCTCAAGAAGAAGCACATTAAGGTCCTGGAGTGGCCTAGCCAGTCTCCAGACCTTAATCCCATAGAAAATCTGTGGAGGGAGCTGAAGGTTCGAGTTGCCAAACATCAGGCTCGAAACCTTAATGACTTGGAGAAGATCTGCAAAGAGGAGTGGGACAAAATCCCTCCTGAGATGTGTGCAAACCTGGTGGCCAACTACAAGAAACCTCTGACCTCTGTGATTGCCAACAAGGGTTTTGCCACCAAGTACTAAGTTATGTTTTGCAGAGGGGTCAAATACTTATTTCCCTCATTAGAATGCAAATCAATTTATAACATTTTTGACATGCGTGTCTGGATTTTTTTGTTGTTATTCTGTCTCTCACTGTCCAAATAAACCTACCATTAAAATTATAGACTGATCATGTCTTTGTCAGTGGGCAAACGTACAAAATCAGCAGGGGATCAAATACTTTTTTCCCTCACTGTACATCTGTAAAAGTTTTGAGAAGTGGAATTGTTTAAATTCTTTATGAGTCCTCCGCCCAGAGGCAGCGGGCGCTACGTGGCACGCATTTTAGGGCTCAACCTGTGTCATGCTTTGCTCTCCGGAGCAGGGCACTGCTCAAAGGAGTGATCAGTGTTGAGGTGGATCAAATGGAAAACTAAATTCCTGTCGTTTGTGACGCCCGCCGTTTGGTGAGAGGTAGACCCGGTGGCAATGGCGAGACTGAGAAAACCCTGTCTGTCTTGTTGAGCTTTGACATAGTTTTTACCTGATAAGGCCAGGTTAGGTTATATTTGCTATTCTGTGCTATCCCATTCACCTTCTGAATGGCACACATCCACAATCCACGTCTCAGTTGTCTCAAGGCTTAACAATCCTTATTTAACCTGTTTCCTGCTCTTCATCTACACTGATTTGTATTTGTATTTATTATGGATCCGCATTACTCTTCCTGGGGTCTGGCAAAATTAAGGCAGCTATACAATTTTTTAAACATTACAATACATTCATAACAGATT